CCCCCCCCCCCCCCCCCCCCTCGTAGGCAACTCCAGAAGGCTCCGTCGGAGGAGAGGAAGGAACCCGCACAGAGGACCATGAGCGAAGCATCCAATTACACTGGGGGGTCGGACCACACTGCCAGCTCCACTGTGACGTCCAGCGGCTCTGCGGCCAGGGTGGGTATGACAGCCAATCCGCTTCTCTTCTGTCTGCTGCGTTGGAGGCCATTCTAGGGACTCTAATTAAACCTCCCCGACATGGGGAAAAAAAATGTCGCCATTATTTTAGTGTGAAGTCGTAATGAATAACCTCAAGAAGGAGAATTTAATAAACACAAGTCCTTTATTTTCACTTTTGTGACATACAGAATATTAAACAAATAAAGCTGACTTGTTGTTGTGATGTGTCATGTGATCGGCCACCCTCAGGGCCCCCTCCCAGCTTGGGGGCCCAGGCAGCATAGGGTGGAAGATCGGGGGGGTTCCCTGGATGGGATGCCTGTTCTCCTGACGATTGGGGGGGTTCCCTGGGTGGGATGCCTGTTCTCCTGACGATTGGGGGNGTTCCCTGGGTGGGATGCCTGTTCTCCTGACGATTGGGGGGGTTCCCTGGGTGGGATGCCTGTTCTCCTGACATGCAGAAATTGCTTTTCCTAATAAACAAAGTGTATCAGTCAAAGCTTCTATATGGATCGATGTGGCTAATTCAGGTGTGTAACTTGAAAGGCATTCTGAAGCATGAGCGCCTCTTTCTGGCTTCTCGGGGTATTGCAGTCGGTGCCTGTTCTCCTTTTCTATGACCCTTTTGACCTGCCTGATGAAAAGGGGTCAGTTAGCTCATGAGGCGTGTCGGGGCGTCGTATATCACGTCTTTGGAGCGTACGCTGGGTACAGGCATCAGGCAGGTCCAATCAGGGAGGGTATCACATACAGGGGTCAGGGTCAGAAATGGGAACAAATATGGGGAGGTGGGGAGGTGGGTAGGCACCTCGGAGCGCTGCTCAGCAGTCTGAGGGTCTCCGGACAGGCCGGGTGCCATCGAGGCCAGTCCCAGTGGGGTTGGTCATCAGCTGTGCAGTGAGATCACAGCATCTGGCCTCTTAGTCGCAGATAGAGCCCGGAGCCTCTTGGGATTTGCGACTCGCGTAAACGGGGAGATGTGCTGTCATGTCCTCCTTTTAAAGGTGCGTGTCAGGAAAATGAATCTCTTCCATGTGTTTTTTTTTTTTTTTTTTCTTCTTCAGCCTTCAAGATCCTCAAAAAAAGTCCACAACTTTGGAAAGAGGTCAAACTCCATTAAGAGGAACCCCAACGCCCCAGTTCTCAAACGTGGCTGGCTGTACAAACAGGTATTTTTACCCAGCATTCCTTATGATCGTGCACGTTTGCACATGTCTTTGTGCTGCTTGTGTCCTGCGATCCAGATTTAGTCCCGAAGCTGGTTGCAGCCCCATTCGGAGACGTGATCTATAAAAGAGAGCAAAGATATTGCAGAGTAAACTGTAGGTCTGCCCTCCTGCCGCAGCTTAAATGATTTTATTGAAGCGTTTATGTTACAAATCCCCCCTCGGCAGGGGCAGGCCAACTGTGGGACGCAGCGACGCCCCCGATGGATAATATTTAAAAACACAGTATTGTACAGCGGGCAGCACGCGGCATAGAAACGGTCACATGGCAATGTGGTCATGTGACAAAGATCAATCTATCTGACCCGTATCCCTTCCGAACAAGGACCAATCAGAGCAGGCCCAGAGGTAGGTGGGAGCCGGGTCTCCCTGCAGGCTGGTGTAACCTCGCGCTCACCTCCTAAAATCAGCCCGACTCGGCGTGGGCGGCAGTCGGCAGGGGATCGCTCACTCCTCAAGGCGCCCGGGCCGTATCGCTCCTCTTAAAGGGATAGCTCCTGATTTTTTTTTGAGGCATGTTTGATTAAAGGGGCAGCCTTGAGGGCCGTGTACCATCTCATCTGGAACCGCACCTAAGCTGTCGCCCGTTCTACAAAACGTGGTGGGGGGGTGAACATTGTGCTGCGCCTAGTGTGAGCGAAACATCCGGTGGGGGGGAGTCAGAGTCACTTCCGGGGGTGTGGCAGTCTGCTTGCTGGACCCTAATTCTGCTCTCTACTGCCCCCTACAGGACAGCACTGGGATGAAGCTTTGGAAGAAGCGCTGGTTCGTGCTGTCCGACTTGTGCCTGTTTTATTACCGAGGTGAGCCCCGCCCCCCATGCCTAGACCAGGCCGTCTGTCGGGCCCCCCACTGACCCGAGTCGGCTCCGTGGCCCTCTGCTAGCCCCTGAATGCCTGTGGGTTCTATTCCCTTTGTATGAAGGAGTGGTTAGTACTGGAAGTTCGAACCTGTGTCTGCTTTGGTTTTTGTCTTGTGACTGTTTTAGGACTGTCACTACCCATTATATCCATAATTGAGTAATCTACCGATTAATCGGATGATTCATCAAGATATTGTTTATATATGATATGATATATTCGCTGATAAGCCACGCCCACACAGGGTGAGCACACAAACTGCAGACACACAGTGGCGGTGTGAGTCGACAGCACTACCCAGGGGCGCCGCTAAGGGGGGGAAAGTTGGGACAATTCTAAGGGCCCACGCCCTTTAGGGCCCCCCAGAGATCTGCTTTATTAATAATAAGTTACCGTAGGGGGGCCCAACCTCATATTTTGTCATAGGGCCCAAAATTGCTAGCGGCGCCCCTGGCACTACCCACTGTGCTACTTGCACGAAGTGCGACTTTAATATCAACATGCCGCTTCATGCACGTGCAGTTGTCACATTAAAAGGGCCACAGTAGTTTGCAGGGTTCAAATCATCAATAAATCACTAAAACATTTTCACTCAGTCATAGGAAACTTAACTTGGCAAGCTTTGCTAATTTTACTGACGGCTCCTTTTCATAATTATCTGGTACATGCAAAAAAAAAAAAAAAGTCTGCAGTTTACTGCCGCTGCTTTTGCATGAGCTCAGAGACGATCATAATTATTCTCGTCTTTGCTGCTGGACTCACCCATAGACTGTGTGGCGTGTTCGTGAGAAATTAAACAAAAAGGAGTGAAAAGGAGAAAAGCGAAGAAGAATTGGTCACGAAAAGACATTCGTCTTCTGCTGTATGGAAATATTTTATATTCCACAAGGACAATATTGAACAAAAGCTACTGATTTGTCAGCACAACTCACAGCAACACCACCAACATATTTGACAGACTGTTTGTTAGATAAGTTCTGTCTGGCTAAATAATTAGAATCAGAACAAAATATCACAAGAACTTCAAAGATCGCAGTGTGACCTTTTCCCAATATCGTTCCGTCTCACTCAAAACACACAGTATGTTCACAAAAAATATTAATATGTTTATAAAGTACCATGTTATCTAAGATGACACAGCATAGCGACTGAGCTAACCTTTGTTTTAGAAGCGATTATTCTGACATACAGGAATTGTAGAAAGTATATTAAGCAAAATAAAATAATTTGTCAAAGTGTTGACAGAGACAGGCTAGGTTACTCACAGAGCCCTCCCCAATCTTTCTTTGTCGTCCCAGTTCAGCTTTGCACTTATCGCTGTGTTATTGGGAATTACAGAAATCGATGTTGGAGCAATATTTCGACCGTGTTCCCCTAAACTATAACGTAACCAGTGGCAGTTTCACAATGGCTGCGTCAGCATAATTTAACGCACCACCCTCTGCCCAGTGCCGTAACGAGATTCTGCTGGCTCCTGTCCACGCTGAGTGCCGCCTCGACCGAAGCCATGCGCCTTAATCACCTAAACGGGGGGTGAATTATCACGGCGTGCCGCCTGTGACTCGGGGCCCTAGTGGAGCCCACGTCAGGGCAGCGTGCTTAAGCGCTCGTCACTCGCTGAGTGGGTCACGCCGCAGACTTCCGCGAAATCGGATTAAGTGGCGAGGTCGCGCCAAAGATTCAATTTCACAGTTTAGCAATTATAATAATAGGGAATTGTTAGGGAAAGTTACCCCCCAGTGGAAATGGACGGTGTTTTGCTTGCAGTCTCTGCGCCGTGGCCCCCTCCCTGACTTATTCCCGGTGGGAAGGGTGATGTCCCAGCACCCCCATACACCGCCTGTGTATCCAGGACCTGAGGAACATTAGGGCAGGCTGCCATTCCTCCTGCCCTTTCCTGTAATCCTCTCTGTTCTCCTTGGCTCTACTGTCCATCCAAATACCCAGAGCATAGGGGTGTGTTTGCGGGGGGGTGGATGCAGCTCAGCCTCGCTCTCCCTCTCCTTTGTTGAGCTCTTCCTAAAATTAACTTTTACCTTTTAAGCACTGTCATCCGTAATGTTTATAAAGCTGTTGATAAATGTGAATGTTGTGAAATCCACACAGTCGCAGGAGAATCACAGCAACTGCCAGTTCAATGCAGAACCCGTTTGCAGAGTTTACGTTTCAGTGCCTCTGATAAACAGTGCAATTAAAAAAAAAGGGCCCCACCCAAAATCACTATGACATGACATAATATATCATCTGTCATATTTGTTCTAATTTACTCCCTGTTATACGCAGCTAAATGCTTAAAAATACTTAGTAGGCTCCAATATAAAGCATGTGTATATGCGTGTTTAACCGCTGCGCCCTCTAACTGTAGTACAGTGTATTGCTGTTGCCCCATACAATTGGGCCTTGTGCATCACATTCAGTCTGCACTGTACTTTGTCAATACCAGCACGCTGTTGGGTAACATCAGGGCCTCCCCTGCCTGGAAATGGAACAGATGTTTTTCTGTGTAAAAATTTTCATGGTGCATCTAGGTTATTCTCACGGTACTTTGCACAGGGGCTGGGGAATGACACACGTGTTGATCATCATGGTTATGCTTAGTGACACATCGCGGGGGGGGGGGGGGGGTGCTTGTCGGGCACAAAAGTACCTGGGTGTTTTGCAATTTAGCTACAAAGGTGGAGATTCTGCCGGCCGCTCATGTGCCCTTCAGCTGTGCGGCCTTGATATTCAGTGGCGGGGGGGGGCAGTGTAAATAATTACTGAAATGTCTTTGTTCGGCATGATGGTTAAAGAGTGGCAGGCCACTTTTTGTTGGTTGTCATTGCTGGCATCCATCTTACCACCCTCTGGAAGCCTTAGCCGGTGAGTGAGCTCCGTCCTCTCGGCCCTCGTCCCCAAGTGGCAGGGCTCAGGCGCGATGGCAGCCCGCCCCAATGGGCACCCTGAGATGGCGCTAACTGGGCCAGCGGCTCATCAAGCCGCCTGCGAATATTCAGATACAGGCGGAAGCAGAAACCGATCCCCCATGTCACCTCCCCCCTGACAGACGCGTCTCTCCTCCCTCTTCACAGATGATAAGGAGGAGGGCATCTTGGGCAGCATCCTCCTCCCCAGCTTCCTCATCTCTCTGCTGTCGGTGGACGACCACATAAACAGGAAATACGCCTTCAAGGTCAGCAGCATGCCGGTGTCGTCTTTGGGGCGCGGGGGGGGGGGGGACCGGAGCGCAGTGGGGACCAGACCGCTTGGCCATACCCATTTCCATTGCCCCAGGGTGTGAGAATTCCTGACTGTGGGGACGGGGAGGCGATCCAGCCCCCGCTGCCTCCCCCGTAACCGCATTCAGGCGTCGGGCTGGTTTGTTTGACGCTCCAACTCCAGTGAGGGTAAGGATGGCCCCAGCAGGGCCCGCCCAGGCAGGGCCGAGGCGCCGGGGAGTCTGGCCGGTGGTCAGTCTGCGCGTCCCTTACGGGGGTCTAGGGACGGGCCCTAGGCTGCTCTGGTCTGCTCCAAAGGGCAGAATGGAGACAAACACTGTTGGACAATTGATTCTAGTGAGAATTGCACAAACAAACTTGATTGATGTTACCCAGCTGCCTTCTTGTGGTCATCGTGGCACTGTGGTGTTCTGTGTGTGTGTGTGTGTGTGTGTGTGTGTGTGTGTGTGTGTGTGTGTGTGTGTGTGTGTGAGAGAGCACGAGACACAGTTCTTGGATCTTGCTGTGACACTGAGACTGGGTCACCCTTGACCCCAGTAACGTACCCATCATGTGATCTAACATAGTGCCTTGTTTTCCCACAATGCTCTGCTCTCGTGCTGCACGGCGAGGGAGCGGCTGCAGGGGACAGAAACACGGCCGGTCGGTACGTGAAGCTGTGTGACACGTCGCTGTATGGCGTGCTTGTCTT